AATCCAGTGACAGAATGTACCTTGTTATAAACGTGTCACCGAAATGACGGGAACAAATAAACACGCTTGAGAAACTCCGTTGCTGCCTTGGAAAAACAAATTGCATCCACTGTTCACATAACACTGAATAAGGTTATCTTTTCCTCACTTCCAAAAACTCACTCTTTAGAGATATTAGGCTTGTTCGACTTCATGCGGCGCCGCAAAGATCGGCTGCCGCCTGTCAAAAACAATGCATTCTGGTCACATTAAAATACTTTTGTCCAACTTTGATCGGCGCTGCAGCTGCCCTACGATCACATGTGCATTCAAAGTACCGCAAGAGCAAAACGGGACCAGCCGCCTAGGTCAGGCACTGAAAAAGCCTTGATGACGACACACTTTATTCTCATTGGTTAGATTCTGTGATGACAAGCACGATGTGTGTTGCATGCTCCAGCCGGAGGCAGGCTAGTAACTCAAGCAAGTAACTGTGACGCTGCCGAAGACTTCCGTAACCATGAAAGAAACGCGTTAAGCGGCGCGCTCTTGCTTGGGTCGTTGAGTGCGCGCATGCGTATAAGAATCCAACTCTTAACAGTGTAAATAACTCAGAATGCATGAAATGACATTACCCCCGTTAAGAGCTGATGCGAGCTTGACTAACGTGACCTGCCAGAACTAACGCTACGCTTGATTTCATATCTGTCATCCCATAAAAATCTACATCAGAGGAAAACCACTGAAATGTTGTCATAATATTACAAATTAATACCTTTGAGAAAAAGCAGTGACATGCATAGAAGGAGAAACATTGCCATTTAAAATTTCCTCTGTGAAGTGTACTGCAATTCTCTATTCAATATAGGCTATTGAAAAACTAGAGATTTTAAAGTCATGGCCCTTTGTTACATCATGCTTAGGATAACTGTAATATAATTGGGTCTAACAATAAAATACAAATATTTTGAATGAAAATAAAATAAAGTTACAAATTACTTAAGAAATCATTTAAATTGTAATAAGATGGAATTCAGCATACTGTAAATGAAATTCATTTTAATGGATATAAATTGATATAATTTTAGATATGCCATACATTTTCAATTTATCATAATATATTATATTATTACAGTATATTCTTACTTCCTATTCTATTTCTAACTTAATTTGCGAATAAATAAATACAATTAATAAATAAAATTAATTAAAAAAAAATTATTTTGAACTTTTCTTGACATTAAAATGCTTTGTGAGATTCACTCAGTTATAGTCGCCAGTAATCATCCTCTTTTAGTTTAGAATTTCAACTCCGCTATAAGCTCTTTATCAGATTAGGAAGTAAGTGTAATTTTAAACCAAATACTACAGATCCTGCTGTATTTCCTGTTCTAATGCTTAGGTTATTAGTGAGGCAAGTAATTGAGAGTACAACACTGTGCCTTTTAGCAGCACCGTAGTAGATTGCAGAATCTGACAAACTCAGGTTAGAGATTTTCAAATCTCCAGTCACGGTGTCATCTCTGGTCATCTTAAATCTCTTCTGGAACTCAGGTTGTAAGGGAAACAGGTCAATTTAGCTCAAAGGGAATCATTTAAGATTTTAAAGGGAATTTGGACAGAATCACTGTTTTACGGCTGATCACTGAGACGGCCAGCGATTCATTGAACGAGCCTCAAATCTTAGATTGTCTGATTCGGTCTGATATCCTACAAGGTTCATAGGCTGGGTCAGCTTTGCCATAGCTATAACCGATGAGGGCCAGTGATTTGCTGTTATGGAGTTGTTGATACCATAACATGACATCTAAGTCGTTGTCGTCGTGTCTACAGGAGATCTCTGCCTCTATGTCTTGCTTTATGAATAAAGGCTGATCAGAATGAACACAATCTGACAGACCTATATGAAGAAAATGAAGAGTGAAATTAAGTATTCTTTTTTTTACTTTTTAGAGTTTTTCAAAAGAGAATGAAATGGTGTAAAATAAATCAAGAACTTCCTACGTGCAAATAAGATGCTAAAAATGGCTATTCCATAAGCAACACGACACATCCTTTTCTCATGAAGTTGCACAGAGAGTAAGACTCAGCAACGAGAACACATTATCAGCACTTCTACTGTAGGTTTATTCACTAGAATTACACCTCCCCCTATCGTCACATATACAATGCCAATCTGCTTACCACAGATTGTGCAGTTAAACAGTATGGTAATGCTTACAAAAACAACATTTTATGTGCTGTCTAAATTAGATTTATTTATTTATTTATTTATTGTATCTATCTATGTTGGTTAAAGGTTAACATGCATGACTGATGATTACCCTTGTGAAAAAGAAGTGTAATTAATTGTATTCAATGTGCACTTGTGGTGTACTTCAAATCCTGTTAAAAAAAATATATTTTTAAAACACTACTTTTAGATTATTTAATATTAATGAAATAATGTCCACTTAAGTGTACTTAAAGAAAGTAAGTTTCATGACTATGTTTCTTGACACATGTAAATACACTTGAACTGTACTGTATTATGCAATATTACAGTAATTTATTTTAAATGTACTAAACTGAAACCTTATCATGTTTCAATATAAATGATTTTAAAGTATATTTTAGTTTACCATAAATGCTTGACAGTATTTGGCAGTGTGTGTGTGTGTGTGTGTGTGTGTGTGTGTGTACTCAAGTTCTACTTAAGTGGTTAAAAAAACATTCCTAATTTCAACTAATTGTATTTAATTTGAATACTATAAATTTAAACTTTTTTTTTTGGTTTAATTGTAATAAACATGCAGTTAAGTGTCCAGAAAATATTATTACAGGCCATTTGCAGTTTTGAATATTCCAGATATTGAATTTAATCTACATTTTCATAAATATCATTATCATAATTTAATTATAATTAACCCATTTTAATGTAGTACCCACAGACCTTAAAAAACACAGCTAAGAAAAGAAAAATAGCAAAAACTACTGAATTATTTTAAAGTAAACCGAGGATGACATTGCTTCCAATTGCCATGGTTACTTGTATGATCAACTCTGTTTCAATTTATGCAATGTATACAAAAGTGTAAACATGATTGTGTGTGAAATTGTTTAAATGCTTGGAGGTACACAATGGCTTTTCAGCTTTCTGGATTATGCCCATCAAAAGAGAACAGTTTGTATTGTTCCTATATTACTAAAGTTCAATAATATGCAATTGAACACTTGTGAGGTTTCTGCAGGTAAATAAATAAATACATAAATATGATGATTAGCTACTTTAAACCAATACTTATAAATATGGCTCTACTATGATCCGTTTACTATGAACTACTATGATACTTTATGAGCAGGACAGGTGTTTTTGTTGTACACAGCAGAGTTTTGTCAAACTGTGTCGCTCACAGCACAGAAATACACTGTACTGTCTTCTGAAGTAAGACTGGAGATATGAAGTGTCCCGTGGGTTTGTGAGTTCCCATAAATGTGAAAGCGATAGTCCTTCTCAGGATTGAATGTTGTCATGTAAAGGTGCCCAAGAAGTTTGAAGGATTCTCCTTGTGTTGTTTGTTGGTACCAGTAAAGATAGTAATAGCTGCTGTAAGTGTGAATGCAGCTGATGTTCACAGTGTCTCCCAGATGCTTTATCATGTCAGGAGGTTGATCAATGGATGAACCAAGAGAAATTTCTTTAGAGGGAAAAACACATTGATGCCATCAAACGGAAAATTCATCATTTATTTTTACAGCAGTATAAACATACCTCATTAAGACGAGTACAAAAATTACCTGTGAACCAGAACAGCACATAGAAGAAAATGAAGGTAAGCTGCATCTTGAAATGAATGTCTGATTCTGATAGACTCATGCAAGAGAGATTACAGATTCTGAAATGACTGCAAATTGTTTAGCAACCTTGTGACTTGTTCTTATCTGTGATTGGATGATTGTTGTTTAAGTCCTACCCAGTCAGAGATTTTCAAAAAAAAATATCCGCCCAATGATTTATAGAGTACTAAGTTCAAAATGTGGGTTTGCTGTACTGTGCACAAATGAAGCACAGTAATATGCAGCAAACAAAAATAAAAATGTTCAGCCAGCATTTTCTGCTGTTAAATTAAACCATTTATGAGCAATTACTTCTAATTAACTAACTACTTCAGAGGAAAGAAAGCCATACAGGCTTAGAACTACGTGAGTAAATGATGACAGAATTTTTATTTTGAGATAACCCAACCCTTTAAGGTTTAGCTCAAATTCCAAGTGATTTAGTGCATATAGTCCATATATGTGGTGTTAAGAAATAATCTGTTTGTTTTATTGGCAGGTTTGCCATACAGGAACATGGTGTGTTTTTTTTTTATTTATCAAACAGGTGCAAAGTAAACTGTGTTTTGTCAGTGCTTATAAGGAATTGTACGGCTGTGCTTACTTGCTGCACAGAAATATACTGCACTCTCCTCAACAGATATGCTGGATATGAGCAGGAA